TAGTCCACATGTATGTGATAACCATTAAAATATTGTCACATTTTTTACTTTTACAGCAGCAGTAAGTTCCTGTAACAGAAAGAAAGAAGCAGTCTTTAAAGTGTGTTTTGCTATTCTGTCTGAAGGAAGTGGTTTTTCTTAGTTACATCGGCGTGATTGCAGTGAATTGTGCAATCTGTAGCCACGGTGTGAAAATGATTCGTCATAAAAAATGTTCTATATTATCAATACTATTATTGCTATTAATTATAAATCAATGGACCATAATAACACAAAAAATTGGACTTATGTAGGAAAATTAATAATTTTTTAAAAAAAGGTTCAGACTTGATGATAATCAGGGAGACGTTGTTTTGAAGACAATGTTTTTTTTGTATCTGTAATTGTTCTTTTTCCTGTCTCTACTTGCATTAAAAAGGTGACAAACCTCTTTCGGTGCAGACAGGTTTCGATTTTGCTGGTGTGTTGGCAGAGTTTGGTTTGACTGTCATATGTGACACTTGTCAATTGCTACTTCTTTTAGCGTTTCTTACCTCTTGCTTTAACTTATCTTACACTTAAGTAATGCCTAATATTTGACTCTACACTCATACCACACAGCACTGATTACTAAAGTATTACCTAAGATGATGGTGATGATGATTTTTATTGACTTATTTGATTCGACACACATTATGTTCTTCAGGCGTCGCACCTCCACCAATGAATCCTGCAGTGTCGCTTTCGTACTCAATGGTAAGACCCACATATGGACCACCACCTACAGGCCCACCACTTTCAGGTCCACCACCAACAATGAAGCCTACACCTGCAACTGGACCCCCGCTGGCCAATGTCATACCTCCACCCCTCAAAGCTGATGGTAACTTTTATTTCCTTAAGTGTCTTCATTGAAATAATTACACAGTCATTATGTCATGTCATTGTTTATGAGAACCGGATTATACTTGTTGGATCACATTGTATATTAGTTAATATTCTACACTGTCTTATTTACCGCCAGTCATCTTTAAAGCTTAGAGTATCTTTCCATGTTGTTTGAATGCAAAGACCATGGTCCTCAGTTCAATTAAGCTAATCTTATTACAATTCTTTCTCACCATGTTTTCTCCCTTACCTCTGTTTACATGCCAGCTCAGTGTGGGACGGCTGTTAACAGCATCCTGTCCTCCACTGAGCCCGACTGTCAGGAGGGTGATATTGAGTGTCCAGGTGTGGTCCAATGTGTTCGTAGACGTGTTAATACTGTAGTGATTGTCCCTATAATCCCATCCTGTTGTCTGTTGTATCCAGGGATGCAGTTATTCACTCATCCTTTTGGGGTTTAAAGTCAAATATGAGCAGCAGATACTACTACTTTCACAGAAAAGTAAAATACAGAGTATTCTGTAACTTTAAGGGCATTGGTTTAAGACTGCTTTGGCAAATTATGTTCATTATCAGTGCATCCCTGGTTTTAAATAGTGTTTCTTTCCCATCACCCAGTTGCCCCTCTCTTTTTTTCCATATTAGCACTAGAAAATAATTTTATAAGAATCAAACCCCTTTGTTTTGATCTATTTCAGTAGTGTAGTGTTCTAGTAGTCTTCTGTCTCCATCTCATATCTTGCACGGTAGATGTCCTGCACTAAAAGTGCGAGACTTTTAGTTCTTGTAGTAAAGATAGAGGGTATTTTTTTTACCGTCTGTCTTTACTACAGATACTAAAAGTACTAAGAACTGATGGAGAAATCCTTCATATCTCATGCGTTTGCTATAAAACAGGAACCATAGCTGGAAATGGCCCCCAATCATCAAACAGCTATAATCATGTGGACAACAAAATGGGTAAGGACACTGTTCCCTGTTGTGCTATTACAACGTGTCATAAATCTAGATAAAGGCTGAAATGAATGAACACTGTTTCTTGGAAATAAAGCTGCACTGGATATAAACCGCATCCTTTGCAATACTGTTTTTGTATAATGTATATTTACATAGATATGGTGGATATTATGGTGAGCAGCAGAGTGGTATGAAGCAATAAATCGAGGGACTAACTTTCTTAAAGCCAGTGCTCCTTTGTTAGAAGATATATGGCTTGACTTTTGGTTTTGAGGATATGCAGATTCATACTGCCTGCTTTGTACACACGCCTGGTCTCTGTTACAATGACGCAGTATAAGCCATATTTGGGTATTTTCCCCACTCACACGTTTATAAATTGGTAATACATGCTACAGCTGTATTCCTGTGAAATAAAGTAATGGCACTCAACAGCTGCCATGCATTGTCAGAGCAAACAGTTAGAACCAGTTAACACTAGTTCTAGCTCTTGGCGTAATCCAGAAGTACCTAAGATGTGTATGTTGATGATTTTATTTAAATATATTTTAGTAGCAAATAATTGCTTAATATACAGTACTTATCTAAGGACGATATTTGTAAAGCGTTTTCTTGTCTTTCTAGTCTGAAGTGAACTGAGTGTAATAGAAGAGCTACTTTGTGAATTTATAAATTATTTTAAAGGAACATTGATGTTTTTATTGGTCATTTTGCTGTTGCTATCAATCCCTTAACTAAGCATATGTCTCTCCCAATTCTGCTGCTGTGTCTCTCACAGGTGGTCTGCCTCCACCTGGCCCACCCGGTCGACACTTGAGTCACTATCCTTCTCTCCCCCCTGGATACCAGAACACTGCAGCTCCCCACAAACCCACTGCACCAGTGCACCCTGCGATGCAAGCTGCCCCACAGCCTTACAGTCAAGCAAATCAGCCGTACCAACAACAGGTCAGAGGAAAGATGATTTCTGTTCGATTGTTTTCATGGTTCTGTTCAGTTTAAATATGTCCAAACCCCAGTGCCGTAATTAAATGCACATAGCATACATTGAGAGTCTCTCCATTTAAACTAAGCTGGCAAAACAACCTAAAAATATTGCAGCATGTTTGCAGGTAAATAGTCATCGTTATTATGGGTTTGTAGGCTATGATATTGTGTCTACGTGAGCTGATAAAAGTAGGGGAAATGTAAACATGTAAAGAAAATATTTCAACTGATCAATACACTTTTACACTGATCTGATCTCATACACTTTCAACTGATCAATGTTTTCTTCTTCTCAGCCCACGATAAACACTTTTAACTGATCAATGTTTTCTTCTTCTCAGCCTCACAGTGGCCCAGGACAGGCCCAGCTGAGCCCCTCCTTAGCCGCCTTGAGCCTCCAGTCCAGTTCCCCAGAAGCCCTAAGGGTTGTTAACCTGCTACAGGACAGAAACCTGCTGCCTCCAACCTCAGTACCTGCCCCGACTCCCTGTCTGCCCCATGACCTGCAGAAGGTCAACTGCAGCCCAGAGTAAGCTCTTTTTCGCCATTTATCAACTTTCTCGATTAACATAAAATATTTCAGACGTGTCTTTTACACCCATACAGTGTGTTAAGTACAAGGAAGTTTATACTAAGTATATTCTAGACTCTGATCCTCTGTGTTTGTCTCTGCAGGGTGTTCCGTTGTACACTGACCAGCATCCCTCAGACACAGTCTCTGCTCAACAAAGCCAAGATGCCGCTAGGCCTGCTGCTCCACCCCTTCAAAGATCTCTCGGTAAAACATTACAACAAGTGCCATAGATCTTTAGTTTAGTCAAGGTGAATCGCCTTAAACAAAGAATTCATGACACCACATCATTAGCACAACCGGCTACACAAGTCTAGAATGAGCTGAAGTTCTTCTTTATTTTAATCATCCAAAGAGGAAGGTTAAATTCAGCTATCACCGATTAAACACTGAGACTGAACATGAAAGTCATAATTGTCAGTTAGGTAACTGCATGTTTCAAATAAGAGAATTATTTTTGAATATAGTTTTTACCCACCAGGGTTGATGAAATGTTTTTCTTCTCCTTCTTATGTGCACTGGTGTACCTGCAGCAACTTCCTGTGGTGACATCCAGTACCATCGTCAGGTGTCGCTCTTGCAGAACCTACATTAACCCTTTTGTGTCTTTCCTGGACCAGAGGAAGTGGACGTGCAATCTGTGCTACCGGGTCAACGATGGTGAGAAATTTTTTTTTTGAATAATTAAGGGAAGATTGTTGATTTGCATTTCCTGTTTGAGGACATTAACAGACTGCAGCAATAAATGCTTTTAGGATTATTATTATTTTCCTTTTATGGCTGCATTCAAAAACAAAATGACATTTTTGGTGCTGGTCCTGTGTGTGTGTGTGTGCTTGCAGTTCCAGAGGAATTCATGTATAACCCAGTCAGCAGATCATATGGAGAACCGCACAAAAGACCTGAGGTCCAGAATGCTACTATTGAGTTCATTGCCTCTTCAGAATACATGGTAAGAATTTAATGTTTTTACCTATTTTTATGTCAGAAAAGTGTTTTTTTGGATTTGTTTTCATACTGCTATATTATTGTGCAGCTGAGGCCTCCACAGCCCGCCGTTTACCTCTTCATTCTGGACGTGTCCCACAACGCAGTGGAAACGGGCTACCTGAACGTGTTCTGTCAGTCCCTGCTGGACAACATCAATGCGTATGTACAACATAGTCAACTTTCAGTCGCTGCGAGCAACTCGATGACAGAACAGCTTGTTTTTGTTCTCGGGCTGTGGAAACTATTAATTCCGTTGATTGAAGATAAACTTTGAAGATAAACAGTCGTGAAAGAAGCAGGAAGAATGATCCTGGACTGCCGTACTCCTGTTTGCTTGACACTAACCCTTAAAGACAAAAAGAAATGTGAAATGAAATCACATGATAATTTATCATTTATTGTCGTTTACCATTTATCTGTACCATTTGGATTTAAACATGCAACAGTGGTGTGAGACTGGATAGCTATTTTTATTTAATATGACTATGATATATTTACATTTTTTAAAAAGAGTGATGTCCTTCATCCGTTGTTGTTTATCTTATGCTGCGTGTTTGTCACAGGCTACCTGGAGACTCGCGAACCAAAATTGGCTTCATCACCTTCGACAGCACCATCCACTTCTACAACCTCCAGGAGGGTCTTTCACAGCCACAGATGCTCATCGTGTCCGACATCGAAGGTGAGCGAACCTTACTGTCCACATTAACCTGCATTTAAAATGCACTGAGACGTCCGACTGTCTTCTGCTACTGAACTGTTCATTAAACATCTAAAATGTTCAGCTGTTCCACTGGAAATATTACCAAGATATATGTTTTTTATTCTTTATCAGTGTCTGTCATTGTGTGCGGGTTAAAAACATTTTATTAAATGACAACATCTTTGTGTTTCACAGATATCTTTTTACCAACACCAGACAGCCTTTTAGTGAACCTCAATGAGTGCAAAGAGGTGAGAAAAGGTTTTTTATGTAAAGTCTTTCTGAAAACATTTACACCTTTTAGGTGTAAACTAGTTTTGTGTGTTTAGCTTTTTAGGTTGCTTAAACAGTAAGTCATGTTTAGTCACAAATAAAGCCCCTTCTGTGTGTTTGTTCTTCAGCTTGTACAGGACCTGCTGAAAAGTTTGCCGACCTTATTTGAAAAGACCATGGAGACCCAGTCTGCCTTGGGCTCTGCCCTGCAAGCTGCCTTCAAGTTGTTGTCACCCACCGGAGGGCGTATGTCCGTCTTTCAGACACAACTGCCCAACTTGGGGGTTGGAGCTCTGCAGTCCAGAGAGGACCCCAACCAGCGAGCGTCAGCCAAGGTAATCTGAGCTGACTACGGTGTTTTCTCCTTGAAGAACATGTCACCCTGAAGGATTAGTGACCTCATCAAGTGCTTTCTACAGTTAGTCTGTTATTCTGTGTCTAGTTACTCATTTTGTATAATTGTTTGTAAAGCTAGAACATCTTTTCTAATTTTAAAAGTATGAAAAGTGAATATACTTATAACTTTATTTTAATAGTTTAGATTTAGGATTTTTCTTTTTTTTTTTGCATTTAATGGAGCAAATAATATGAAATCAGTTGTTGCCTGACCTTTTATTTACAGCTTTTTATATATTTACATGAGTTGAGAACCTAACACTGTGTAATATTATTTAAATATCTGATGCAAAACTTTAATATCTAATACTTTAAACTCTAATTTAAATTTATTTAATTTACTTAGTTTATATTTGCCCACTTTGTTGCGACCTATAGGGGGTGCCAAAACACAAGACCTGTGTTTGTTGCTTTTCAGGTGTTTATACCTAACTTATGACATTAATCCGATGAAGGTAAAAATTCAGTAATTGCATACATTTTAATACACTGTTACTACAAAACACCTGCATCTAAATTTAGATGACTATATTCAGATTTAGTTCAACACTTGACATTTGAGCATGTAACTGCAGTGTCTTCAGATTTCTTTAACACTTAATTACTGAGATATAGAAAAATTGCATGTATTCTGTCTCACATGTATGGCGTTAAGTGTTAGAGCTCCTGTTGTTTTGTTGACAACCATCCAGGTAGCATCCCAGCCCAGAAGCTCAGATGCGTTCAGTTCCCTCCTGTAAGAGGTTTCTAGTGTTATGATGGATGGCCATAGTAAAGTTCTAACACGAAAGATTGATTTTGAGATTTTTCTTCAAAGCCCATCCTGGTAGAACTATATAGTTTTGTAATAAGTTTATTGTGGTCTGTTAACTTTTCAGGACATCCAACATTTATCACCAGCGACAGACTTCTATAAGAAGCTGGCTCTGGACTGCTCTGGTCAGCACATTGCTGTCGACCTTTTCCTGCTCAGTTCTAGATACTGTGACCTGGCGTCGCTTGGTGAGTTGTGCAGAGACAGTAGTGGAAGAATCCAAAGAGAGGACCGGATGAATCGGTAAACTAAGGTTTCATTTGTTCTCCAGGCTGCATCTCCAGATACTCAGCAGGGAGTGTCCACTACTACCCGTCCTACCACCAGCAGCACAATCCTGCACAGGTGGAGCGTTTCCAGAAAGATCTGAAGAGATACTTGACCAGGAAGATCGGGTTTGAAGCTGTCATGAGGATACGCTGCACCAAAGGTCTGTTCTCACGAGTGCTGGTCAATCTCTCTCTCAAAGTATACTGTTTCTGTTGTCTGTTACTGTGCAGGGATTTTAGATTGCTGTTTAACATAAAACTGATTAATTTTGGTTGCTTGTTTTTGCAGGTCTGTCCATCCACACGTTCCACGGAAACTTCTTTGTCCGCTCCACAGACCTGCTGTCTCTCCCCAATGTAAATCCTGATGCTGGCTTTGCAGTCCAGATGTCCATTGAGGAAAATCTGAATGATATGCAGGTGGTCTCTTTCCAGGCTGCCTTGCTATACACGTCCAGCAAAGGTACACACACTTGATGTGGAATATTTTTTTTATCTGCACCTTTTTTTCTAAAAGCATTTCTGTTGTGTTTTCCACAGGAGAAAGAAGGATCCGTGTCCACACCTTGTGTCTGCCTGTTGTCAATTCCCTGTCTGATATATTTGCAGGGGCCGACATGCAGGCCATGACTGGTCTGCTGGCCTGTATGGGTATGTATTCCAAAATGACTCTCTGTCATGAAGAACAGGTGTTGTCATAAGGCAAGGTGATCGTATGAATGAATTGTAGCCGCAGCAAAGATACAGATACAGTTAGATACAAATGTTTTGTTTATGTGTAAAATAATGGTTAAAAAACTAGATGTCCATTCAAAGCAAATGCTTAGGTGTATTCCAAGGCACTGCTCTATAATAAATTATAAGAGGTTTTTTATTTAAACAGTTTATTATAAATACATATGTATGAACTTATATAAAGTCATGAATAAACCTCGATGGTGTGTTTGATACCTGTATCATATACAAAAAAAATGTAATACAGTTAAAAATACAAGCATAACTAAAATATCTGAAAATGGCATTTATAATTTTATGAGTCACTACCTGTAGGGGTCGCCAGATCTTTTATTTGAGGCTCAGAAAGCCTGAGTTTACATCCTCTGTTCTTCTTTTGTTCCCGTCCCTTTCTTGCAGCCGTGGACCGTTCAGTGTCAGCCAGTCTCAGTGATGCCAGAGACGCTTTGACTAACGCAGCCATAGACTCGCTGTCGTCTTACCGACACTCTGTGTTGACTATTCAGCAGCCTGGTCTGTTGTCTCCAGCCTGCCTCAGACTCTTCCCTCTATATGTCCTGGCTCTGCTCAAGCAGGTTGGGTTCTTTACCCTATGAATGGGGTTTTATTTTGCCGTTAAGTCTTTGTCACTAACTTTTACATGAAGTCGTTACTAATACATTTCTTTGTGTGTGAATCCTGCAGAAAGCCTTCAGAACGGGCACCAGCACCAGACTGGATGAGCGGGTGTTTGCCATGTGTCAGCTCAAGTACCAGCCGCTGGCCTATGCCATGCTGATGATCCACCCTGCCCTGTATCGCATTGACGATCTTACAGATGAGGTGAGGGAGGGTTTCTGTATGTCTTGGTGGAGTTACTGCTGGGTCCTAATAGCAAAACCAGACCTATATATTTATTTATATATAAATGTGTGCGTAGTATACTGTATATGTGACATGTATATGTAGTATGTACTGTATATCTAATATGTAATACATTTTTGAATAGCAAAAATGTAGACATTTTTGATTATGCTGTTGGTCTGTTTTTATTCTAGTTTTAGTGGATATATAATTAATTATTCCAAAACCTGATGTCCTCCCCTTTCCCTCTGTCCTCAGGGAGCTTTAAACATCAATGATCGGACCATCCCTCAGCCCCGTGTGCTGCAGCTGTCAGCGGAGAACCTCAGCACGGAGGCAGCTTTCCTCATGGATGCTGGAACTGTAGGTTTTTTTTTTTAAAGACAAGCTGAAATTTAAGTTTATACAAACCAAAAGATTTTTGAAACACATTTGGACAAGCTCACTAGTGTTGCCGTGGTGACCAAAAAATCATAAACCCAACAATGTGAAATGCAGCCATTACCTCATTTTAAGAGCTGTTTGGACTAAAGCTACAAATGCAATGTTTTATTTATAAACCCCTTGTCAATGATGTAAGACAGTAACAAGAGTGATGGTTCTCTCTGCTACACTTTTCCTTACAAGTCCACACAGTCACCAACTATACATTGTTGTTGTCCCACAGGTAATGTATCTACGGGTGGGAAAGAATTGCAACCCTATCTTCCTCAATCAAGTCCTGGGAGTTCCCAGCTACGCTGCTGTGCCTGATAACCTTGTAAGAGGGAAAAAATCTTGTGCTTTTATTACATACTTTATGGTGAAGAAGTGTTAAGTGCATCTCTTCTCCTGCAGTATCTGCTGCCTGAGCTGGACACTGCAGAGTCACAGAGAACAAGAGCTTTCATTGGCTGGCTGAAGGATCAGAGGCCATTCTTCCCTACTTTGCATGTCATCAGGTGGGTGAAAATATACAGGACTTTTTTTTTTGAAAAACCAAACATAAAAATAACTTGACTCATTTATGTTAGTAATATACTGTTGGTCCTTAAAAGCAGTTATTCATCTAATTTATTTATCAAAAGTGTACCACATGTCAATATGATTTTAATTCTTTAATTCAGTTATAAGGGTTTTATATATTACACTGTTTTCAGGGATGAGAGCCAGCTGAAACCCAGCTTTATGCAGAACTTGATCGAGGACCGGACAGAGTCGGCCCTGTCGTACTACGAATTCCTGCTTCACCTCCAACAGCAAATCTCCAAATAAACTTCAGTGTGACTGTTAAGACAGGACAGCATAGAAGCAAGGACGCCTCTCTGTATGTGTGTGAGTGAGGAGTGTGTGTGCGAGTACAAAATCAGAGGAGGCCTTCAACTGGCCGAGGCCTCCGGCTCCGTTTCTAGCTGTGGTCCACTGTCTCTACCCTGAGGACAGGGTTTTTGTTTTGAGCTGAAGTTTGGCGTTACTCAATATCAAGCAGCGTGACGCACAATGCAAAGACGCAAGAGTGACAGTGAATCAACCATGATGCTTTTTTCTTTGCACTTTTCATCCTGCTCAGAATCAGCGGACAACAGCAGGAAATAACAATCACCAAGATAAGGAATAAGATAGAAGAGGTGATCGAATCGATCAGCAGTCTGTCTGTGGATGGCACCGGTGGCAGATTGAAGGTGTCGAGTGTGTTCTGTCGTCTTTACCACATCATGTTCGTGTGTCAGTTAGTGTATGTACGTCTTAATTCAGATGAGTTTATAAGGTAAGTGAATGCATCTGCGCTAGGCTGGTATAGGGGGCGCCAGCTGGATGGTTGTCAACAGTACAGCTTGAGCTCTAACATTCTTAACCCCTGTACGACAGAAACAATGCGTGCAATTTTTTAAAATTCATTATAGGTGTGTGTCGAACAAATAGGAAGACGCTGTAGTTACAGGCGCAGATGTCAAGTGTTCAAAGGTGGGTGGACCTCACTGTCATCACTGCCTGGAATGTGTATGTGTGTGCGTGTGTGCCGGTTTCGACTCAGCAGTGAAAAACTCACCAGACATTTTTTCTTTCCCTCTCTGGACAGGCGGAACAACACTGTTCTATTTCTTTATTTTTGTTTGTTTTTGATTTCCGTTTAATTTATGAGAACTCCCAATCTGATTAAATCCTACAATTGCCTTGTACGGGAACTCACTTTTTATTATTAAACTTCTGTTTAAATACAGACTCTACATAATGAAATATTTTAATATAATAGGATATGGGAAATTCTTTAACATAAACATAAAGCCATTGTTTTAATCATACTTATTGATACTTGTATATGAAAAAGACTGCATTATATAAAAGTGACTAAATGCTGATGATTTTAGTATAAACCTTAAGTGAGATAACGCTAAGAAAATAAAATGTTTGGCACTTTTTAAATGTAGTTTGTGCTTTGGTGGGTGAACAGTGTTTATTCAGTGACTTTCAGACAACTATGGACCAACACTGTCGATATTTTCCTTGATTGGGATTCCATTGAAGGTTTTTTTTCGATTTGGTCTGATTTCATACAGTTTGTAATCTATGTAATATACGAGAAAAAATGTATTTAGGAGCAGACAGATGTTTTGATCTTGATGCACAGATTTCTCTTTCATAAGAAAACGGATGAAAATAAAAGTAGCCTGTGTTTGTACAGAGTAAGCTGCAGATGTTTGGATTGGAGCGAACGTTACTCAACATGACAAAATGTCACAGTTTGTCTGTCTGGAATGTGACTTTAGAAAGTTTCCATTTTACTTTTGTTTTACTCCATTTTGTCCCATTTTTCTCTGTTTTTTGCAACCAAATATTCTGAACATTGCAGTATAATTCATGCTCATTTAGAAATAATGCCAATATAAATAGCAAACATTTATAAATTAAATACCTTTTTTAAAATCTTAGCCTGATTATGAAAAATGTTTAGTATGGTATATAATGATATACTGTATATATTCTGTTTTGACGTAAATAATTTGCTAGCATGGTACGCGAGCGCTCTCTAGTGGTACGCGGGGAAAATTAATATTTATACAACATTTAAACATAAAGATCTTTATAAACATCTCTCCTGTGTGGTGGAAGCTAATAGGAAAGGCCTATGCTGCTATATTCTAATGTTGGCCATCATGGTGGTAAAATGTGAAAAAAAATGTGACCGATTCCTCGGTGTACCCATTTGCATCACTAGATGGCACTGTCATTCTATTCTTGTGTACGGCATGTTTTGGTCATAGTTCATACATCATGATAATGTCCCGTGCATGTGCCCAGAAAGTTCAGAACGAATGAATGTTTTTTTCCTCTGTAATGATTTTCTGTCTCTTTTTTATTGAATACTGAATTTATTGAAAACTTGCTGTGCACAGATAGTGAACCACGGACGAAGGATGACGAGGATGGAGTTGCCAGGAAGGAGTAAAAGAAAACGAGGAAGGCAGCAGTGATCCAGATGTCATAAAAAAAGACATAAAGACTAAAACTCCACACATATGTGAATACAAAGTCCAAGACCATTTTCCACTGAGGAGAGCTGAAGATGGATGAGAAGGAATGTCCTTTAGAATCTCACAAGGGTAACTGCCTACCGTAAAATATAAAAAAACTATATATATATATATATGAATATGCAAAATAAGACTTGATGCATTAAAAAGTATTTACATTCCATTGTTTCAGCCGTTTCAGGGGAACCTGGAGCTGATCACAGCCACCGCTGGACAAGGATGGGACACGTGTGAGACATTTACACTCTGTCAATTCGGAGTGAGCAATTGACCTAATTCTGGATGGTTTGGACAGAATACTGACAGGGGACTTTTACTTAAGGTATACAGCGACAGTACTGTATCTCTAGAACTCTTATATATTATTTATAACTTTTTTTGTCTTTCACAACCCCAATTTTGTCTAAAAGGAGGGGAATCTGCGGGATGTGACGGAGCCATGATCCTAAGATGTTCTACAGTAAGACAGTAAGTAGTGTTTCAAGTGAAAATCTTGTTTAACGTCACACGTGATGCAGTTTGACTAACAGTAGTTTAAAAAACTTCATGGTGTTTGTTATCTTTTGGTTCAATTCAGATCCAGCCGTCGCTCCTTTCAAGCCCCGCCCCTCCATGACCAATTAAGGATATGTCCGGTTTTAAAAATCCCAAGATGGCGCGGAGCAATGGCGCTTTTGAGAAAATAAACGAGTCCACAGGGTGACGTCATGGTGGGCTGGTTGTCACGGCTATAACATGTGAGGATCCCGCTGGAGCGGAGTTTAACCGCCTGCAGAGAGACGCTCATCCACCGCTGCAGACTCCGCTCGCACTCTGGTAAGTCGCTGCTGCGGCTGCTACTGCTGCGCGTCTGCGCTCAGTACAGCCGCACGCTGTTCTTCTAAAAGTTCTAGAACTGGAAGAGTTGTTTTGTGCATGTACGTGTTTTTGACACAAAATGTCATTAGAGAAATCAGTGGCAGCAGAAAGGCATTGCTCCAACTGAAACATCACCTTAAATCCAGAGCTAGTGCACGCGTTCCTACAGTAAGTGTCAACCTTTTTTGCAGAGGCGTTGGTCGTAATCGTGTATGCGCGTGCACGTCAGAGAGAACTAAAGTTTCATGCTGACTTCTGGAAGTCACTGGACTTCTGCTAAAGATCTGTTTCCAGTTAAAAGTGTAGAAGTCCATTTTTTACCCTCCCTTCCTTCCTCTCAATAATGGATCTGCCACTGCTGAAAACTGAGGCAGAACCCCCCCCCCATCAAGTAGATTAATCTCCTGTTATTCCTCACTGTCCTCCTGTCCAGTGTGCACGTGCATACCTACATACATCCATGTTCCCCCTACACTGTAGTCCAAGTGATCGCTCGGCCAGACATTCTGCACACATCTGCAGAGTAAATCCAAGCTCCATATGTGTAATATTGGCCTCCTTTACTTTTTCTGTTCCAGACTCTGGTTATCTGGTGTTGTGCAATACCCATGTGATTATTATTCCAAGGAAACATAATAATTCTAATTAAACTCTACATGTCAGCAAGACCCAAAAAGGAAGGAGAAGAGTTTTTGTAAAGATACATGTTTTAAATTGACACAGAGTGTGTATAAGAACTGGACCGACACAGGCTTAAGAAAAAAAATCTGAATGTAATAAAAATTAGGCCTTTTATTTGCTTCCGAAGCTCCTGTTGTTTCAAATGGTCCAACTGACAGCAAAAAAAAAAAAAAAAAAAACGTTTTTAGGGCAGTAGTGCTTAAAGTGGGGCACTGGCCCCTCCAGAGGGTCGCAGGGGGACAAAGTAATTCTAACTCAGATTTTCTCTTTAAATGTGCCACAGTGGGGTAATTGAGCTAATTTGTAATATTATTTCATTTCATCAACACAAATAGCACTTTTGTAGGAATCAAAGTATTTTAAATCATAAAAATGTAGTGGAGTCTGGAAACAATAGTTGTTAAACTTAACAGTCTAATCACGAAACAGAGAAATAAATAAATATACAGTTTGACAAAGCAGTGATGTCATGTTGCGGGTGATTAAGGTTCCCATTGGACAATCCAGTTTTCAGTCACACCCTTTGTCTCTGTAATATGGGTTGTTGTAAATCTTGAAAATTGAATGATTTTTAAATGCATTTGTGCACTGCACAGTGAAGCGGTTAGCACGCCTGCCTCGGAAGCAGGGAGCTGATAGTCCTTGGTGTGATTCCCAGAGGAACCACATGCTTGGTGTCTCCAAGGAGTAACCTGTGGCAGTAGATCTGTAGAAGTGTTTCCCAAGTGTGGGATCAAGAAAGTTCTAGTTACTGTATTAATATGGCTGTGGTGACAACATTTAAGATTTTTCACCAAAATTTACCAACAGCTTGACATGACATTTGAGTTTCTCTAAGAAAACTTAAACCTATAAATATAGACATGAAAGTAATGCTCTAGTCGTACAAAACTTTTTTTTGGAGATGTTCAGTAGCTTCACATCTATAGACTACTTTTCACGTTTCTCTCAAAACTCTCCTGCTTTTTTGTTCTGCAACTTTTCAATCCAACGGACATATCTCCGTCCATTTCTCATGCACCATTTATGGTCGCAACTTTGAAATAGGAACTGCTCGAATATCAGCTCCAAGCTGATTTGAATTTAACGCTCATATGGAAGCAGTTTTATTGTCCTTTTCAATGTGCACAGGCAGAAAAGCGCAGACCTACATGTGAGACTGACCTTTTGTTGAGAGATTTCGGTTTGAGTCATATAACAGTGTCTGAATGTCGAAGAAATTACCAATGAGCTCAGTGCCATGAAATGCACTGTAGGCTCATAAAACTTTATGCACTTTGTCTGACTTGACACGGTGGTAACTCCCTGTTGGTCTTAGCCCGTTGTGATTCTAATAGCACAGATTGTTACTGGTAGACTAGAAGGCTGTGTTTTTATTAATGGCTCCTGTAGGGTTTTTTAATGGTAGTAGATATGTATAATTGACATTACTAATTATATATTTTGAGGTGAGGTTTTTTTGGCTGTTTGTTAAACTTAAAGAAGTGGCTTTAGCATCATTTATCCAGTTGTTAGGACCCATCCGGTCGATCTGTGACATCTCTCTGCACCAAACCAATTATTAAAAGCAATGAAAACTAAACATTTACTTGCAAGACAGGCTGAAACCAAGAAGTCTGATGTCGTTTTGTTCTTGTCCTGCAGCTATTAAAACATGTTGCAATATGTTTGGAAATACTGAAATTAAAATGTGGTTGTGAAATGGACTGTAACGTAAAGCTTCTGTGTTGCCTCATCACGCAAGAGAAAAGGCGAACAAATTTTGAATTTTATCATTCTTAAATACATTTTGGCTCAAGTATTTTACTTTACTGTCGCAAAACCATCTGTGTTAACTGAAAGAAAACTGCCTCATCCATTTTTGCTTCGAGTAATTTAAAGTAACTAAGTAACTAAAGTAATTAAAGTTTAAAATTTAAATTGAGTAATTCTTTACTTTTATTCGATTAGATTTTTAGATGGTACTTTTACTTGAGTAGAATTTACACAGAGTAAAGATACTTTATTATAAGTTTTTAACTTAAGCACGGACATATACAGGAAAACATGAAAGAACAACAATATTTACTTTTTAAATGACGCGACAGCCATATTAGAATATAACATGTATAAATACAACTAAAGGGTTGCACAGTAGCTAGTGCTTTAGTGTTCTCCACATGTGTGAGTGTTTCTTCTCCACATGACCCTGAAAGGATGAATTAATACAGGATGAAGGGAAAAAAAAAGAAATGATAAGTAGACCAGGTGTTCAGTAAACTTCCTGTCACTCTCATCTCTGGAACCAGTTCAGAAGCATCTGGTCTTGATCTGTGCAACCAGATTGTTATGTTAATTCTGTTTAAAACCATACATTCTATGGTTGTGAGCTAGGTTTACTAATACATATGTACTGAGGGTTTAACTCACCTCTCATCGTTCAACCCAACATGAAGCCTTTCAGACCGTGCCGAGGGGTTAAATGTCTTAAGGTCTGTAGCATAGGTTTGTTTCAGAGAAAGTCTTGGAAACAGTCATGGTTTCACATTAATGCTGAACATTCCTGCAGTGTCAGCTGCTCAGTCCTGAAGGGATTCTCAGTTACTCGGGGACACAGTGAGTCAAGTTCAGCTGACCATGAGCTTCTGCTAAAACCATCACATGTGTGCTGTTGTACCGGGACATGTAGGGTTTCCTTAGACTCGCTGTGTCTCCCTCCCTGGTTTAAACCCAGTGTCTGGAATGTGGCTCCAGACGGCCAAATAAAACAGAAACCATTCTCTCTAGGTGGATGGGGAGTAAATATGTTATAGCCCAGACTGCTGCCCAGTTTGAAAACACTGATTTTGTTTGTTTTTGAGATGATAGTGATTACAATCAGAGGTGTGATTGTTCTCATAGAGGGTGTGTTGCTACGGGGCATGACGAGGTGACAGATAGAGCTGGTTTGGCTGACACCTTCATCAGGTCATTATGGTGATCTATGTGAAAAGTGTGTCCTGACATAAACTCAGTAAACATCAGATGTAATGTTTTCTCTCATCTTTAATGTTTTTTATCTGGTTTTTGGTCTTGTCGTTGTTGTGTGGTATTTTGAGACTTTGGTGGTTTAAAATCTGTCTATCCATCTATCTATCCATCTGAATCTGTCTATCCATCTATCATCCATCCATCCATCCATCTCTTGTTTATATTTTTGCATTTATTCTGATACTAGCTTTAAAAATTGGGCTGTTTGCACAAGCCGCGTCAGAAAGAAATCCCTGAACCTGCACATATTTAAATTTGACAGTCAACTTTAATCCATTTATGAGGTAGTTCTAGGTTTATGAACATAAAACATCAGTGATAAACAGTTATACAAGTATCCACTGCACATTAAAGTACACTGGCTGTAGTCACTCTTTAAATATTAGCTCATAAACCAGCAGAGACACAATAACAAACCTTTTGACTCCAACAATTTAATGGTCATTTATTTTCCTCACCATAACATTACGTTGCCTTGGAGTCAAAACAATGCGTGACCTTTTTTACACTCAGGAGCTGACTCCATTAATAACAAACAGTTCCTCCTTTTGTTCCAATGTTAAATCCGCAGCACTTATCGTGTACGGTAGAAAGAAAAGTGACAAGATTCAAACATAGTGTAGATGAATGTATGATGGATGATAAAAAAATTACTACCTTAAGATGAGGATGAACCTTAACGAATAATTTGCGTGTACTCACTGTACCGGCCCAAACCTGTTTTTGCAGCAGCAGGAAGTTCCATTAGGAGATATTTTCCGCTGGTTATCACAGAGTCAATGATTACAGAGTCTTTCAAAGTCAACCCTGCCGACTGTGAGGTCACACCTGTGGCTCACAGAGCATAGCATACAAACGCATTATACCGATGTGAATGTGCAGACGTGATGGAGGTGTTAGTGTCAACTCTGTAATTCCCAGTATGTTGAAAAATTCCCGGCTCCGTGTGTGAGCCTGTGGGTGGACGGTGCCAGCCTCACGGTTTTGATGGAGACTTCCTGTTTCTCACTTTTCCATTACATTCTTCTGCAGTAAGCTCATGCCAACACACACACACACAGATATACAGACACACCCACACACAGATGGTTGGTATCCGCAGATGAACATCCACAGTTTGTCCTGTCGTGTCTGTCTTGGCCAGTTTTTCTTCCTCTTACCTTCCTATTTTTGTTCCTATCTAATTCACCTCTCTGTCTTTTTCTCATCCTCCACCATGTGTTTTACCCGAGTGCCTGATTTCCCTCATGTACACAGGACATGATGTCACCTCTCAGGTTTTTTTTCTCCTACCCACAGGTCTAACTCTAACTACATGTGTGGCTACATTTGTAATGGTTACAGTTTGGTAACTACAGCATTAACAGGATTAACAACTGCAGACGCAGCGGTAGGAGAAATAAACAGCAGGAGATGAGGACATTTACGAGTCTGGCTGTAATCAAAACTAATTCTCAAGACTTTTTTTTCCAAATAATTCCTTTTACCCTCACTTTACTGACTTCACGCGTTGATTGTGTATTTTATGGGTTGCTGTTTAGAGGCTTTAAAAATAGTCTTCTATTTATCTGATTTTTTTTTAAACCTTTGGTTTGTCTGAATAAATGTCTCTAGATGGTTTTAGATCCATGCTGGAAAACAGGGACATTTTTAGTTTGAATTTTGACCTTTGAGTTCATCTGTATCTAATGAGAACAGCTGGGATTACAGTTTTTTTTTTTTTTTTTTAAATAACTAGTCCTTGCTAATGAAATAAGTTCACTGGGCTTTTTCCTAAATGTACTTTATTAATTATTGTAATTAAATATATAATTATTTTAATTATTAAGTTGACAATTGAGATAATTGTATATCTTGCAAGAATTAAGTACGTAAAATATCATAGTGCATATACAATTATATTAAAAGAAGTAAAAAAAGACATAAGAATCTAGTCTTTTAGTCTTTAACCCTGGCCATACAGTCTTCAAATATGTTTAAATCTTCAAGTACAAAGTATGAGAGATGAAAGTACTGCAGTACAGGCCTGTCCTGTCAAAGCACACAAACCTTAGTTTGAGAAACGCTAATAAAGAGTAATATATGTTTATGTTTCCTGCATTTCCACCATTCTGTCGGATGTGATTTCAACAGGATTAGAGCAGTAAGATCTTAAAGAAATAGGTCTTCGACTGTGACCTGAGGATAAATAACGCCGTCAACGGAACAAAACCAACACCTAACTTCTTTCTTGGTGCGTTCGCGGTCGCCTTTCCAGGATTTCAGTGCCCGAAATGTGTGAGTAATGTCTCCTATAATTCCTCTAACTCAAATTTGGCAGTAATGGACGGCGTCGTAAAGAAGTCGCCTTTGCTTCTCCTAAGTAAGCCTGTTTGTCGGTCCGTGTCCAGAGGTGGATTCTTTCTCCCATCTGTCATCACTTTCCTGCTTCTCCTTTACATCTATATTAGTTCTGTGGTGAATTTACAAGAATTTTTTTAATTTTTTTTTTTTTAGGAAAAAGTAAATCCAAATTATAAGGAAGCAGTGTGGATTTGATAAATAGCCTAAAAACAAAGACGTCAGTAGGCCTGTGAACATCTTCTAATATATTCATCCAAGAAGACGCTTACAGTCTAATACTGTCGTGCTGTAGTTACCAAGTGACTGACAGAGTCCGCAACAAATGCACCATTCACTCCATTGAGAACGTAATGTAAAATGACGTCAGCCTTTTACCCATGAGCCACAACATGTGGCCACCGAAACCCTCACGTGAACCGTGGAGCGATTTTTACCCATGAGACGTAATGTTCACCCCGTGTAACTCAGATTTTCCCCCCTAAATCTAAATCAGACTCCTCGTAAAGTGACTTTATGATCAGATTTACGTCCCCACGTCGGTGATTATCTGCACACACACACACATACACAGAATTTTCCTTGGCTAACTTGCTTCCCCCCGTCTCCTCCTGTGAGTCCATGACACAGCTTCACTCTTCAGCGTTGGCAGCAGAGTGCAGGAGAGGAAAATGATGTAGGTACATGCAGTTGTGCCATGACAAGCACGAATATAAAGTGCAGTAAAACAAAGTGAAGACACGCGGTAACACTCCTGTCGCAGCTGCCTGACGTCAGCCACTGCTGATTTATTACTCTTTTTTTTTCCAATAGAGTGAATGCGATGTTAACTGTCAGATGTTGATTGAGTGGCCGTCGGGAAATAATTCCATTAAGTCATGCAGAAGCATTGAGATTTCAAATCAATCATATGAACCAACACTAAAAACGAATTAGAAGAACATGAAATTTGACATAGATTCGGATTAGTTATGCCTTAAAGTCCTTGCTTAACACTTAGCAATATTAGCCTCTCTAGCAATCAGTGATTGTCCTCGGTGGCCAACATGTGGTACATAAAGTGTGGAACACCACACAGCCGAACATCAACGAAAGGTGGCCCTCCTTTGTCTATATCAAATATGTCCAACCTGAGGCTCATGTACCAAATCTGGCTTGCCACTGCATTTAATGTGGCCCACCAGAGCTTAACAGACGTGGTTGTTTTAGATGATCTTCTATTGTATAGAGTCAACACTCATGTTTACCGATTGACCTGCGGTGTAGATGATGTAGTGTTTCAAAATACTACACCAGCCGCAACGTGAGTAATATTCCCTCCTACATCATTCCTCCTCATTGTTGCAGGATGATGGATGAGTTTCCTCACCCACTGAGCAAATAACCAAGTGGAGGTTTTTCATTAATAAGTAACAGGTCTTGAATAGAAGATGTATACCTGCCCCGCATGATGTCAGCCTTAGTTGTTGTCTGCAGAGGAAACCCCAAACAGATGAAACTGCTTGGCTGACTTGATGAACAGTAGCACCTTCAACCTCACACACACACACACACGTCAGTCCAGTAATAGCTCAGTACTGGGTTACTGGTTAACTGGCAAAGCAAATATTATTGCGTAGTTTTTTTTTTTTGTTTTATTTTACTACAAATTTGTTTCTCATTCGGTAATTATTGTGAATTTTGAGGAAATTTTACATGTTCTTTTTTTTTTTTTTTATTTCTGTAGTATTGGTGGTGGAGTAAATGATTGAAGGTCTTGGGGTTAATTATTTGAGCAGTCCAGAGGAGGATGTTGGTTTGATTCCAACCAATCTTAAACAGATTATTTGTGCCAGGTGAATCACTTGTATTTAAAATATTTTTTACTTGACCCTTTGTTTTTATGCAAAGAAGTACAATTCTGTTATATATCCTTTCAAAATTAAACAAGCGGCCGGATTGAAACTCTTAGCGGTCCGATTTTGACCCGCGGGCCTTATGTTTGACACCTCTGCTCTAGGGTAATCAATCAGTGCTTTGTTCAGCAACAAGAAAATACTTGTTCAATTTGATGAAGGTGGCGGGCACAAATGTTTGTGGAGTACTGAGTACTCAGAGGTACGTGCAGGTACCAGTGAAAAACGTGTTGTTCATTTTAAGTTTGTCAGATTGAGAAACGAGGAGAATCTTGTGCTGTTATACTTTAACGTTGGGTTAAAAAACAAGGAGATATTTCATATTCTGGCTCATCAGCATCAGCCTGACAAATATATGACGACTTTATTGTCCCAAACCTTTGACCTTGTTTGTTCTAACGTTACAGATCTGATAAATTTACGACTGAAGGAAACTAGATGGCAAACATCGTCAGCATTACAGGATAAATCAGTTTCAACACGCAGATCGTGCTTTTGATACCGAACCTTCTTTTTCCCTTTTAAGCACTCGTGGAGTGAACGAGGAAGAAGGAAGAAGAGGAGGATTTGGTTGATGAGGGTGTTTGTGATCGCAGCCATAACTCCTGCTCACATCTGAGCCAAGAGCGCAGCTTTGTCATGAATCTGTGCCGACCAGGAGGCCAACGCTGTAGTTTGTGGTGTGTGTGTGGTTTCCTGGGGAGTGGTACATGTATGAGGTGAAGCATGTGTGTGTGTGTGTGTTTGAGTAGAGCGGTGAATACATGGAGGAATGCCTGGTATGACTAATGTGGTGAGATCTGGAACATTGACAGCCTTTTGACAGTGCCTTAACACACACACACACGCACTGTTAGAGTTTTGCAGAATTCCTCACGGTCAGCCAGCGTGAACTGGATGTGGGAATAACTTTTGTGGAACACACTTGGTCCATCCATCTCCTTCGTTTGCCCCGATGTCGTGGCGTTTTATTTACTGTCTGAACGACTCTGTAATCACAGCTCCATCACCGGACCAACGTGGTGATTTTTCAAGTCTATGTTTGGGACGTTTGTGTTGAAAACATTTTGAGGAGAGTCAGTTTTGGATCCAGAAGAGGTCAGTTACGTAAGAAAGCCGAAGACAAGGCCTACAGTAACTCATTAATCATCGTCGTCTCACTCCAGCTTTGGAATGTGACCAGTGCTGAGCTGAAGGTGGAAGAGAAGGCTGTCACTTTGAACTCCTCTGCTCTATGTTTAAAACACCAGCGGCCAGTGTAATGTAAACACGGAGGTGTCTCTTTTCACCTAATGAAATATTGGCTAACCCTTAGCCACTTTTAGTATATTCTCTTCCTTTTCTTTATGTTCTGTGGCACAGTGGAAAGTTGTTTTTTTTTTTTGGCTGACCTTCAGCTAACAACATCCAACAGACGTCATTTTAAACCAGTAGTTCGTACATTTGAAAATGAACTGCTCTCGTGTGTGTGTCAGTATGTTGTTGTTAAGCGTCAAACTACTTAAACCAGCCGAGTGGTTCAAGGTAGCAGTTGTTTCATGTCTTTCGTCAGTGGCATGTAACAAGTGATGGTGAGGACTGATGAGAAAACAACGTTAATGTCATGCACACGTGTATCTGGTTACTGTGTTCTTAAAGTAAATACTTCAGTGTCTGAGCATGTGAAGCGTTGGATCTAATCAGCATCAGCATCAGTGTATTACTTCCCTCAAAACATTTCCTTTCTCTGCAGTCACTCTGAGTAGGAGCAACAGCGCCTCCCTGTGGCGGAAGTGTTGAATTGTCTCCCGACGTTACATGTAATGTTTTTTTAGCATGTAGTTAAAATAAAATGAATTAAAACTTAAAAAAATTATCATTAGGAATAATTTGCTTCTAACACTTTTTAACATTTTTTCCCCTTTTTTGTATGCAATAAATTTCCTCAATGTATGTGTTTTTTTTTGTCTTTTTTTGGGCTTATCTAATGTTCATTGTGTGTTTTGTTGTATTTCTAAAGCATCCTTTATTCCGCAGGTGTGAGTCTCCCTTGCTGTAGCGATGGCCGACAGCTCACACTGCTTCTACTGCCGGGAAGACCTCGGCGGGAAGAAGTTCGTCCGCAATGAGGGCAAACCCGTTTGTGTCCGTTGCTACACCAAGTTCTGCGCTCACTCCTGCGCCGAGTGCCATAGACCCATCTCCGTGGAAACCAAGGTGAGTCAGGATTAGGTATATATTTATTCTCTTCTACCCCGTGCCTTTAAATACCGTCTCTTACTCCATCAGGAGCTGAGCCATAAGGGCCGCCACTGGCACGAGGAGTGTTTCCGTTGTTCCAAGTGTTACAAGCCTTTGGCCAAGGAGCCCTTCAGCACCAAGGACGACCGCGTCATGTGTGGAAAGTGCGGCTCCAGAGAGGATGCTCCACGCTGCCATGGCTGCTACAAACCCATACTGGCAGGTGAGGCCCAGGGTCTTCACACACAGTTTAGTCCTGTTTACACACAGCACTCATTTCCAATGTGTGTGTGTGTGTGTGTGTGTATGTGTATATATATATATATATATCTATCTCTCTCTCTCTATATATATACATATATAAATATATATATATAAATATATAAGTATATAATATATAAAAAATAAATATGCACATATATATAGTGTTTACCATAACCACTTTAAATGTCACTAATGTCAGATATATTTTGTTCCAGGTATTTTTTAAAATAATTTTAACATTTTTAAAAATATTTTTTAAAGGAAGAATTAGATACTTTTTTGCTTCTGAAGCCCTTTTTGGGTTTTTGATTTTTTTTTTTTAGTGGTAAATTACTACTACTAAATTACTATCTTCTAAATGTATTGCCCAGTTAACTGAAAAAGTATTCGTTTACATTTTTTTTACATTTTTAAATTTTCCCCTCTTTTGTCGTCTCCTTCAGGCACAGAGAGTGTGGAGTACAAAGGCAACTCCTGGCACGACGAATGCTTCACCTGTTTCAACTGCAAACGGCCAATAGGATCGCAGAGTTTCCTCTCTAAAGGAAATGATCTGTACTGCAGCCCCTGTTATGACAAGAAGTTTGCCAAACACTGTGTTGGCTGCAAGAAGGTATGGATTTCATTAGTTTTTCATTGGAAAAATTTAGACATCCTTTCTTTAATATCTAAAATAATTTGACATATTTTAATCACTTATTTTTTACTCCCATGGTTGTCCATCCGTCTCAGGCGATCAGCTCAGGAGGCGTGAACTACCAGGACCAGCCGTGGCACAGTCACTGCTTTGTTTGCTGCGTCTGCTCCAAGACTCTGGCCGGAGAAAGTTTCACCAAACACGAGGACCAGGTCTTCTGTGTCCACTGCTACAAGAGCTCCGTGGCCAAGAAATGCAGCAGCTGCCATAACCCGATCACAGGTGAACTTCAGGGTCCAATTGGCCCAACAGTGGCATCGTTCAGTTAAACTAATATGGCACACAGTGACCTACGACCCGATGTTGGTCCAAGACCCAGGGGTTGGGAACCTCTGACGCGAGGTCCTCTTTAAGCAGTGGCATTTCTTTGCGTAGACCAAAGCAACCGTCGTCTCCTCCACTCTCTCTCTGTTTGAGGGTGTTTATGATGTGTAAAACAGCACCCCCTATATGTTAAAACATGGTACTGCACTCTTTTGTCTGTGAGGAGACCATGCTAACTTGGCATCATCATCATCTTCATCCACCACTGTCCAACATTAGAGACTAGAATAACCTGTAGCTAAAGTTTTTTTCTTTTCTTTTCATTGTGACATTTTTTTGTTGTGATCTTTTCTTTTAGACTTTTCTTTTTTTTTTCTTTTTTTCTTTTTCATTGTGACATTTTTTTGTTGTGAAGTTGTAGAATTTTACCTTTAATGAAAATAATAGCTAAGAAAATAATAGCTAAGAGCTTTACATTCCTTAAGGGAAAGTCTTTGATTGGAGGATATAAAAAGTTTTGGGTTTAAATAATCTCTTACTGTCAGAAGTAAATCAACGTGGATTGAAGTAATGATGACCTTCCTCGTGTCCTCTCTTCCCCCGGCAGGTTTTGGCAAAGGCGTGAACGTGGTGAACTACGAGGGCGGCACCTGGCACGAGTACTGCTTCAACTGTAAGAGATGCTCCATCAGTCTGTCCAACAAGTCATTCGTGGCCAAGGGACGAGACGTCTTCTGCTCCGACTGTGGCAACAAGTAACCTGAAGGCTGCGTCCTCTACAGCGGCAGTACTTACTCATTATCATTCTTTCTCCATTAGTTTAAAATTAGAGGCTGTCCTTCATCACTGCTGTCAGACACACACACAAACACACACACTTTTATAGAACCATACTTAAAGAAGCGCAACTGTTTTTATCGTTGTTTTTTTTTTTCACGCTTTCCGCCGGCACAAGACAACCGCTAATTTTTATCGTTTTGATATGTGATATGGAAATGAGAAGAAATTCGAGCCACCAAAAAAACCCTGATCTTGATCTTATATTTATACCTCCTGATTATAACTGCGATTTTCACACCCTTAATTTCAAACAACCAAATGTTTATGCACTTTTTTAAACACTTATATGATATAATATGAAAAAAATAATATGAAAAAATAACAAATATCAAAAGTAAATATACGGGACCTGCAGGCTTTTCATGTGTCGCTAAATGAAATAAACATTCCGCAAAGTTAATCTTTTCCGTTTTTTGTTTTTATTTTACGGACGACATTCCGCATCTGTACATAAATCACATTATATATTATATAACATATTATCATATATATTGTCCCAAGCAGTAGAGCAGTGGGAGGGAAGAGGAACTAACTCTAAAAAAAAAAACATGTAGCAAGTTTGAGAATCAAGATTAAATATATATAAAAAAATCAGGATTAATTATAAAAAGCATTAGGATTAATTAAAAAAATATTAGGGTTTAGTATAAAAAGTATCAGAATTAAGTATAAAAAGAGCATCCACCAAAGACTTTGTCTTGTCTTTGCGCAGATGCTAGCAGTTTTGTGCTAAAATTCGCTTGATTATTAACAGTGTTGCTTAACAACAGATTAAAGATTGATTTCCTTTACATCCATCCATTATATAAACAGAATCACTGCCACATCTTTGTGTTTTTTTAACCAGGTTGAGGATCTTTTTTTTCTCTGTCTCTGTTTTGAGAGCTTTTTTAGAGGCGTTTGAAAGAAGACAATTGTTGCCTCCGTTGAAATGTTGCAGAATTTGAATAGTCATTTCCTTTATTCCTAACACACACACACAGAGAGAGACAGGTTTCCTCTTACTAAAGGTCACTTCTGTGAGGTTTGAACATGACTTCAGCGCCACAGTACAGACAGACAGTGTTGACACAAAGCTCGCCCTCTTTGTTCACAGTAATTACCTTCCTGTTTCTGCCTTTGTGTGGGTAGGGAGCCTTTTTTTTTTCAGACCATAATTCGATTGGTTGGTGAGTTGATATTCAATATGTACACATGCACCCGTTACTCCCCCCCCCCCCCCCCCCCCCGCCCCCGTCCACTTATCTCCACACGCCACTGACTGCGTTTTTCCCTACCCCCATGTATTTACCCTGGGGTCACTGCAGTAACACACTGGAGTCCTTACCTCACGGTCACACAGGCGTCATTTACACAGACAGGTTCAGGTGATGCTCCACCACACATTGTCTTCTAGGTCAAATATCACCACTGGACTACGACGCCAGCTGACACAGTGATTCTCATAGGAGGTTTTAAATGAAGGTAGGAGAGAGTTCCTCATCTGCTTTAATCACATCTTTTTGTACTTTATAATTTTAAGTCAATCGTACATTTCTTCCTAGGATTCAGGATGACTTTCCTTCAATGTGTGTTGACTGTGATTGTGCCTCTGTGTCTGCTGAGCTGCTCGACCCCAGGTGAGTGTGGTGGAGTCAAAATGTATGTGTGTATATATATATATATATATATATATTTTTTTTTTTTTTTAATTTGATTTGATTTTGCACAGCTGAACCCACACTTCGGTGGGAAAATCGTTGAGCTGCTGCAAAAATCTAAGACAAACACAACTCACTAGTTAACCTGTCATTGACTAGTCCAAGCTCCACCTGTGAAAAAGAAACATTTCCACAGACGAAAATCGCAGCGTGATTTAACTCTGGGAGTTCTTCTTGAAAACGGGTGTAATTCCAACCACTGTACCCCCCAAATACTCCACTTGTAAGACAAAGTATTATCCTCAGTACTCAGAAACGCAACGTGACACATGCGTTTAATTTCCATAATGGCTAAAATGCTAAAACGCTTCAAGCCTCTTCTACGTCACCTATCGGGAAAATACGAGCATTGCAGGGAAAAGGCCGAATAATATAATGATAATAGGCGTTAATAACATAATTTGGACAAGTTTGGCGGGCCACATTAAAAAGCCAAACGGGCCGCATCCGGCCCCCGGGCCATAGTTTTGCCCATGCCTATGCTAGAGGGTAATAGAAATGAATTATTTTTATGCCAATTTGGAAATGTTTTCTACTTTGATATCAGAATGGTGTGAACCACCGTAAAGGTGTCGGTGTGCCGTCAGCGTCCGTCATTTGATTTAGAGTCGTGTTACAACCCTGTTACCTTTTTTAAAGCTGCGGTGGACAGATTTACAGTTCCTCTTCACAGCGCTGCATGTTAATGATTCACTCTCCATCGTCTGCTCCTGTCCTCAGCCCCTCAGCTCAGTCTGTGGGGGAAGGTGGCTGATCTAACCCCCAGGTGCAGCCACTGGAAGTTAAAGCCCCACGTCTTCGTCCCAGCGCTGCGGGAGTTCACGGTGTGTTTCAGTCTGAAGTTCGAGGTAAGCGGAGGCCAAGGGTTTGACCCACATTTACTTTGATACAAACATTTACAAACGGGCAAAAAAAAATGTTTTCATCCTCAACATCCAGCAGTTGCGTGAGTCTCCGTGGACCGCCTTCATGTACCGTCATCCTGATGCCCAGTACGTTGAGCTGGGCCTGGGGGGCAAGTCGGGCAATTTGGTGGTGTGGCTGTTTGGCACAGAGTGGACGACCTCGAAGGTTCAGCTCCAGCCGTCGAAGTGGCACTCGGTGTGTCTCTGCTGGTCGCCGGCTAAGGAAAGGCCAGCTCTGTACGTCGACGGGAACCCGATGAACTTGATGACAGGTTGGTTTGATTTTAGTCATGTTCTTATTTTTTCATTCCTTTTAATTAGAAGAACCAGGAAAAGAAACCAGACCATAATAACAGTGACCGACTTTCCAACATTCTGTGTTAGCCTCACATTTGGTCAAATTAGAGAGTTCAGTTTAGGAGGCCTGAACATCTGCTGCTCCGTCAGAACGCAGCAATTCAAATGCAATTAGCAGCAGAGAGTAAGTGAAGACCAACAAAGTTCACAGACTTTAATAAGAGTTTGCGACCTCTAGAGGCTGTGCTCTTGTACTGCTTGTACTTTTATTCTTAAATAAAAATAAATAAATAACAAATAAATGTCTTCAACACATCAACGTTACTCCAACATATTCGTAATAATAATTGCATTGTTCATCCATCCATCCATCCATCTTCAACCGCTTATCCGGGGCCGGGTTGCCGGGTCTCAAAGATCAAGGCTCTAGAACTTTTGCCAGAATCTATATATATGTCCAAAAACAATCAGGGGTGTCAAACATACGGCCCGTGGCCAAAACTGGTCCGCTAGGTTGTTCAATCTGGCCCGCTTCATTAATTTTGACTAACACTGTGTGTTCAAGATATTTTATGCACAATTATACTTCATTAAATATAAATAAGTAATAATGAATATCTCACATGCGTTTTGCAAAAAAAACAAATTTGTGACACTCTTCTTCCTGTCTCCATATACCGTAGCTCATCCGGAAGAGGCCTGTCCCACCTCACCCTCCTTCCCATGCAACAACCTGGCTCCCAATGGGACACTCACCCTCGGAGCTTCACATCTCCTAAATGCAGGAAATGTCCACATTATTACAGTGTCTTGTCTGTTGGGAAAAGTAGCTCTGTTCCGACTGTGGGACACAGAGCGAAGCATGGAGGAAGTGAGGTCCCTGTACTGTATTGAAGGGGATGTGTTAAAGTGGGAGGGGGACAACTGGGACACTGCGAATGGTGCCGAGCTCCCTGACTCCAGCCTGACCTGTGGTGAGATGAAAAATATATTTTATATTCAGAAGAAATAATAATAGTAAGAACATCTCAGAAGTCAAACTCTTATTTATAATATCCACCTTTTATTTATTAATATTTGGTCATTTTTCCATATTATTTTTTTGTGGCTTTTTCAGAAAATTACTACTACTAGTATTATTTGTTTGTTAATGGTAGAATTAACACACATTTTAAGCATATAAATTAAAATTAAAACTCAATTGTATTAATCAATTTAGCTGAAAAATAAATGATCTGCTGCTGCAAAAAAAATGACTAGATAATGCTTTAACTATCAACAAATTGAATTTAGCTCAAATTGTTTTTTTTTTCCAGTTTATTGCTTGTGTGTCATCTCCCATTTAATTAAAGCAGTTCCCGTTGTTAGATTTGGATTGGAATTCAATTTCACTTCCTTTGTTTTCTAAATGAGTTATAATTGAAAAAAAATAAATAGACATAATGACTTTCTCTGGTTGCTTTGCAGAATGGTCCTATTATGAAGTCAAAGTGTTCGTCCTCATCATGCGGTTCAATGGAAACAACACTGATATCGACGAGGCCCGGAACATTGTTTTAAACTGGGTGAGAAGAAAAGAACATTTACAACAATTTCAAAAAAAAATCTTAATTATAAAACTAATCAGAGCTTGTGCTACAGATTTTTTTTTCATATGAAATTAAATTGCAATAAACTGACATTTACTCTCTTAAACCATAAAGGCAAAGAGAGCAGCATTTACACGCTGATTACTCTATGCAAATATACATGGCTCCACCGCGGTGTGTTTTGAGGGATTTTTATCTCATGTAGACATTTAACTATGAGATAAAACGATAATAAAAATGAGCACAAATTAATTACGTAAAAGACATAGCAGTAAAACGCAGCCCCAGCAGCTGACGCTCTGCTGTTTGTTGTTCTCCGCAGCTCAGAGAGCGGCTTCCCAGCGGCTTCAGCATACAGACACTGTCCCTGTCACCAATCACCGGGTAGGAGACGCAGTGGGGTTACTGGTGTTTATTTTTTTTTGGTGGTAAAATGGAACCAGACAGAGTCTGATCTTCACACAGGTCCAGGACACAGGACGGTTTCACAGGAGAAGGGACACGAGGAGAGACGCTGGTGAGGAAGGTCTTTATTTTAACTCATATATGAGGTCACGTCATATTTCCAAGTGATGACTTAATTAAATTAATCAGGTTAATAATGAGGTAAGTCAGGTCACACATGCATTTCTATGACTTTCTACTGCAGCTGGGTGGAAAACTGTTGGGGCTGACTGTTTCCTTTTCCTGTTTTGTCCACTGGGTGGAGTTAGTTAGTGTGGTCACACTCACCTGTGTCTCTGTGATTAGTCTCATTGCTGTCACCTGGTGCCCTGGGCATTCACCTCTCTCCCTCACTCTGTTTTGGTCAGTGTTTTTTGCCGTGTTTGTACTTCATGCCTCGGATTTTATGATCTGGAACGGTCCAAGCCGTGTAGTTTATGCCTTGTTCCTGCGACCAAGTGAGTTCTTGTTGTTCTGTTGTCTTTGTTAATGAACCTGCTGCACCTGAGGAGAGTCTCCCTCGTGCTGCTTTTGGGTGCCGTCTGCTTCCTGTCATGTCTGCATCTATCAAAAACACTGCTTTGCAACTCTCCATATGTCAGTCTTTGCATGAATTTTATTTAAATTCACAAAGTTTTAGTAAAGGTAAAACTTCTGTTTCTCTTCAGGTCAGATGGATTCCCCCAAATGCAAACAGGTAATTAAAGTAAAACCTTGTATTTTTTTAAATTAGAAATACATTTAAATGTGTGTGTGTGTGTGTGTGTGTATATATAATATAATTTTTTTTACTGTACAGAATTGTTACTTATCTCAATTTGGTGAAAACCTTTACCAAATTTAAAATTTTTGCAGCTAAACTCATCTGAGATGATGTCTGTTATTTACATACTTTTTAACAAATCACAACAAAATTAAATTCACATTGACCTGTTTTTTTTTTAATTATTGACATTTTATGAAAATCTTTAGCTGCACTTGCCTGCTTTGTGACAATCATGAGTGAAAATGAATCTGGATATTATATATAATAAAAATATATATTATAATACAGTATCCCAGAATTAAACATCAGGGTCATTCATATTGCTATGAATATATTTTTCTTATTATTTGACAAAACATTAGAAAGAAAAAAAAATAGTAAGAGATGAAACAAAGAGAAAGATGAAACCCAAGAAGCATAATATTTACCTAAACCACTTTGACCTGTTTTTGAAGAAGTAAAATGAAAAGTAATGTGACCCAAAGAACACTGTCCCCACAATTCAACCTGGTGATTACTTGCATCCATTAGATCCAGAATGTCAAACATACGGCCTGCGGGTCAAGACTGCCCCGCTAGGGGGTTCAATCCGGCCCCCTTGATAGTTTTTGAAAATAAAAAAATGCAAATACACTTCATATTTGTGATTTATTTTTTGTCAAATTATATTTTATTAAATTTGGATATTTTCTAGTAAATTTGTTCTAATTTGCAGGAAAACAAGGGGGTAAAACATGGACTTATTGTTACTTATAGGCAAATATGTGATAATTGTACTGGTCCGGCCCACTTGACATCTAATCAGACTGTATGTGGCCCCTGAACCAAAATGATTTTGACACCTCGGCATTAGATGATCTTTCATTTAAAGTCAGACAGCTAGTCTCTCAGCGTGACCTCCAACTGTCAATTTCCTCCACAGTTACAACTGTCTGCTTCGACTGAAAGTTTCTCCTCCCCTGGATGTTGCCGATGTGCAAAATAAAATAGTCATGGAACTCAGCATACCCTACGATGACCCCGGCAGTCAGTGGCAGCTGCAGACTGATGAGGACAGCATACACACCACATCAGTTGGTAAGACAGAGGACGTTAGGGTTCGTCCTTCAAGCAAGGGACGAGGAGGGAATAAAACAACACAAAAACAATTCCCTTTCACAATCATTACAAATGTGTTTTTTTTTTTTTGTTTGTTTGTTTTTTTTTTTCTAGAACGCTTTGGTTAAGTTGTGCCCAGCAGCCCTCCAACCACAACAAAACCCACCACATCTTCTTCTACTGCTCCTTCTACCAGCACACCCAAAACTACTTCCACCAGCACCAAAACAAGCTCTGCAGGCGTCTCTGGTCGGTTCAATCATCTACAGCATACGTGTCAAACTCAAGGCCCGGGGGCCCAATGCGGCCCGCCAAGCCATTTTGTGTGGTCCGCGGGAGCTTAAGCATTCAGTAAAGTCCATGCAGCAGAGTTTATCAACCTATGAAATTAAGTTTTTACACAGCAATGAACAATATTTGTAGCTTGAATAAATAATAGTCAATTGCAGATACATGTATATGTCTGTTATGGAGGAGCTACATCTATATCAGACATCTATACCTATTCTGTTTGTATCAAAGTCTGAATGACTTTCATTTTAAAATATTGCAGGCTTATCATCAAATAAAAAAAGTAAATGGAATTTTTTTTTTTTTTTAAATAAAGTAAATTAGAAGTTTTTCACTGTGTCCCACTGCGGGCTGGTACCAAAGGACCTATGGACTGGTACTGGTCCGTGGACCAGGGGTTGGGGACCCCTGATCTATACAGTGTTCCATTTAAAACCGTCCCTTCAACAGGAACTGTATTGCCGATGTGGCCCCCGGTGAAAATGAGTTTGACACCCCTGCTCTACAGCTAAACTTTTATTTTTCTTTGTAATAATTACTTATGTGTAAGTCTCTTTTTGTGTGGATTTCCTCTGCAGAGCTGTACTTTGAGGTTAGACTGAACGTGTCTCTAACAGGAGACCACAATCCGGAGTATATTCTGGGCACTTGGGTAAGTCTGACACAGCTATTTGCAGCTATTTTTGGGTATGACTTAAATTCTCGCTGGAGTGGAAAAATTAATTTTTAAACAGTAGGTGAAAGGGAAAGTTCCATCTTCGAGCTACAGGATTAGGAACAGGAAGGAGAAGTATAAAATATTACCATTAAGTTATCATCGGGCAGTGTACAAGTCCTTTGTTGAGCAAGGCAGGATTAGAACCGGCAATCCTCCAGTAACAAAATATTAACTAATAAATATATATCAGTTATAGTTGGAAAAAACATCACTAAAAAGAATACTTGTCAACATAAAAATGAGTTTTCATCACACTTGAAAACGAATCAGTGATTTTGTCATTTTTCTAGCAAACTTCAGAGAAAACAAAACAAAACATGAGGAATAAATCACTGAGCCCAAACACAAGGACACAAGTATGTAATAGGTTCTAATGTAATGTTTCCTTCACAGCTCAGCGTCTGTTTACCCGATGAAATGACGGTACTCGATCTTCAGCTGCTCCCCAGCCCACAGAGGTAACGCAGCTGCAGAATGTCGACTGACTAAACTATCAACAATTGACATAAGAATAAAAATAAAACCATGAGACACTGGGCTGAACTCTGGACATTTGTCTTAGGTATCTCCCAATCCTCCAGTCTAAACTCCGTTACTCTGATGAGGTAAGTTTGACATGATTTGTTTAATCATGATCCGACAACAAATGTGAACTCATCCACAGCTCTGACGATAGTCGTGGTGAATTTGTTTGTGTGACCCAATATTATTTGTTACAAATATTTGTATTTCATCACTTAAAACACTTGTAAATGAACTTTTATAAATGTCAAGAATCGGTGGAAAATAAATTTAATAAATAATGGTCCTGACTCAGTTACTGATTCTGAAAGCTGCACTGATGTTTGAAAAACACGTTTCTGTTGAAGTGTTTTTCAATGTGTTCCTCTTTTTTTTTAGGTGTTCAGAGTGGGAAATTACAGGTAGGAAGAAGATGCAAACAAGTGAAGTATTCAATGGAAATAAACTGAATATAAACCCTAACCCCCAAAGTACTTTTACATATATACAGTATATAAATATATAAAACCAAATCTCCCAGAAATGCACTTAACAAATGGTTATTTTTCTTAATAACATAATCAAAATCACATATGTCATATTGTCAAATTTTAAAGCAGGGTTGTCAAACATACGGCCCGAGTGCCAAAACTGGCCTGCTAGGTAGCTTGATCCGGCCTATTTGATGAATTTTAGAAGGGAAAAAATGCACAAACACTTCATCTTCTTGATGTTTTGTCAAATTATATTACAATAAATATGAATATTTTCTAATATACTTCTACTTATCTGCCCGACAACAAGGGGGAGAAAAACTGAGTTATTGGTATTTATAGGTAATTATGTTATGATAGTATTGGTTCAGCCCACCCCTGCCTTTAAGGAACAGGTGTATGATTTAGTGACACCTAGTGGTAATATTTATCCTAAAAAAAAACAAACAAACAAATTTAAATTCTATCTTGGACAAAAAAATTATTGATTTTTCTCTGACACCCACACTACAGCTGTTGTTTGTGTGGATTAAGAGTGACTCTTGAAAGACATGTTCTCGTCTGTAGGGGGGGCTGTGTTTTCCAGGTTCGTGTCATGTCACAGTCTGACAGTCAGGAGATGGAGGAGCTGATGAGGTCCCTGCTCCTGTTGCCGTACAACAACGGCTCCATCAGTGTGGAGACACTGGATGTTCTCATAACACGCATATGTGGGTAAAAAAAAACTGTTTAGAAAAATAATAAGTCAATGTACTGTTGCAGCTGGACTATTTATTTATACTCATCTCCATCTTTATGACTCAGTAATAGTGAGTTGCAATGCAGAATCTCACCACACCAGAAAAGGCCTGTTTCTGTGGCCGGCTACATCAGGAGGACAAAAGGCTAGTCAGCGCTGTCCGAAAAACCCTCTCCATAACGGCACCAGACACTGGTGAGAGACGAAACAAACACACATGGTAACATCACTAATGGTCAGAAATGCATATTTGTACCTGAACTTTTACAATAATCTGGCTACTTGTGCAACAAGTGTCAATGAGGACGTGAGAAGAAAAATCCCTCAGTGACAGATGCATAAATCGTTGACCTGTCTCAGTGCTGATTACATCTGAGGCTGTACTGTATGTTGACTCACTGTGGTAGTTAACCATTGTTGGTCAACTGTGCAGTAAAAGCAATAATCCTTTACAGTACCTCTGTTAGTAAGATGTTCAGTAAACAAATGGATGATAATGTGGAAATGAATCCAGGATTCTATGAAAATTGCTCTTTGCCTCTAAGAAAGGTTCATTTTCACCCTCAGCTGTGGGCCATAAAAACAGCCACGTGCTGAGTCGGACATCAGTTACATGAAATACTTAAATAATTAAGCCTCTTTTCACTCTGTTTGTCTGACAGTAAACTGAGCCTGAGTACACACTGGATGGACCCCGACCTGGATGAGTGCACTCTAGTGGTGGAAACTATCCCCGATCTGGAACATATCGAAGTCATACCTGGTTTGTTTATTCTCTTCTGTCTCCGAATGTTAAATTATAGTCACGGAAATTTAATCAAAGTGTAAATATATCTGTATATACTTTCTTTTTTTAAACATTTTTCAAACAAAGTCTCTTCAAGGTGATGGTGAACATGTTCCTAAATTAAAATACCTCTAATCTAATCTACACTGATCTAGTCTAATCAAACAAAAAGTAATGTAATCTAATCTATCTAATTTAACCTAACCCAATCCAATCTAATCTATTCTAATCTAATTTAACCTAACCCAATCCAATCTAATCTAATTTAACCTAATTTAACCTAATCTAATCAAATCTAATCTCATCTCATCTAATCTCATTTAACCTAACCTAACCCAATCAAATCTACTCTAATCTAATTTAATCTAACCCAATCTAATCTAATTTAATCTAATATAATTTGACCTAATCTACTCTAATCTAATCAAATTTAATTTAATCTAATCTCACTCAACCTAACCCTAACCTAACCCAATCTAATCTAATCTAATCTAACCTTATCTAATCTAATTTCACTCAACCTACTCTAATCTAACCTAACCCAATCAAATTTAATCTATCTAATTTAACCTAACCTAATCCAAATTAGATTTAATTTAACCTAATTTAACCTAATCTACTCTAATCTAATCTCACTTAACCTAACCTAACCCAATCCAATCTAATCTAATCTACTATTATTTAACCTAATCTAATCTAATCTAATCTAATCTAATCTAATCTAATCTCACTCAACCTAACCAAACCTTGCCTAATTTAACCCAATCTAATCTAATCCCACTCAACCTAAGATAACCTAACCTAATTTAACCCAATCTAATCTAATCTAGTCTAATCTAATCTAATCTTAATTTCAATTTGAGAGTGTGTTAGTGCATTTTTATTCTACTTTGTTCCTCGCAATGTTTTGATACGGTATGGAGTAAAATAATAATAATAAAAAAACATGTTTCAAGACCATATGCTAAAGCGTTGTTTCTAACTCTGTTTTTGCAGACAACGCTCTGGACGTGGTGGAGATGATAACAGATTTACTGAGGAACCTCTCTGCCATCGACTACGATGATCTTTTCACGGTCCTCAACAAGCTGAAAGATGTTGTTAACATAGGGGTCATTACACCAAGCCTGGGCCAAGCTATAATTGACATCATATCTGTCCTACTGGAGACTCAGAGCAACCTTCTGCCTTTTACCAACAAGTGAGGAAATTGACTTTAAAAAATAAAACCATAGAAGTAGTAATTGTTTTCTTCTTTCTTCTTTAACGTTGTAATTCCATTTCTACAGGATTCTGAACATCACAGAAACGATTGGAGACAAGTTGGTGGGATATAACGGTTCCTCCACTCTGGTTGCTCCAGGCATTGCCATTGCAGTGCTGGATGTAGTTCCTCCGCTGTTTAGCACGCTGACGTTTGGAGTGTCGTCCGATCTCACCGGCTTGAGGCCTGAGGTATTAAAATGAACTGTAGCTGATAGTCAGTGAGTTTGACCCTCAAACAGTCTAACGTTTTCCTTTTTTTTTCAGATTTTTATCAACGTGTTCCCCACGAGTGACACGGTGGCTTTCATCTCCCTGCCGTCGGTCCTACAGCAAAGATTTCCGACAAACAGCGTGGACCAGAGCTCCCCAAGAGTTCAGTTTCAGTTTTACGGCATACCCATGCTCTTTAAGGTACTACATGAATCTGCTCTTAATGAAATATTGCTGTGCCTAGAACAGACATGGGCAAACTATGGCCCGAGGACCGGATGTGGCCCATTTGGCTCTTTAATGCGGCCCACCCAACTTGTCCAAATTATGTTATTCATTTATTTTATCATTATATGTCTGCATTTTCTGTGTAATGCCTGCATTTTCACAATAGATGGTTTAGAAAAAGGCTAAAAGCCCTTTAGCATTTTAGCCTTAATGCAAGACTTTTACATGTCATTTATCTTAGTTCACACGAACACTCCATCTATCTGCAACTGACCCGGTCCCGCTGTCAAATTTTAGGGCCCATAGGGGCCTGCGAGCCGACAAAGATTGCCCACACATGGCCTAGAACAAGGGTGGGCAAAATTTTTGACTCGTGCCACAATGGGTCCTAAAATTTGACGAGGGGCAGATCGATGAAGCGTTTGTATGAACTAAAACAAATGACATTAAAGTCAGTCAGTAAAGGCAAAAATGCTAAAATGCTTTCAGCCTTGTCCCCGCCATCTAATGGGGAAATACAGGCATTGCAGGGGATAATAATTTGGAAAAGTTTGGTGGGCCGGATTAAATAGTCAAATGGGCCGCATCCGGCCCTCGGGCCGTAGTTTGCCCGTGCCTGGCCTACATTACAACCGTATTTAGGGCCAGTCTTTGTCAGCAGACAGTACAGCCTGTTGAACATGAAACGACTGTAGACTCCTACACAGACCAGACACCTGACCCGAAGGGATAGTCTCGAGCAGGGGTGTCAAACATACAGCTTGCGGGCCAAAACCGGCCCACTTGGCATTTCAATTCGGCCTGCTTGGTGAATTTCGAAAATAAAGAAATACTGTACACAAACCCTTCACTTTCGGTCCGGCACATTTCCGTGCTGTTAAATGTATAATATTATGTATATATTATGTATTTTATCTTCTTCTAATGGGCTTATTTCAACATGAATCACCACACTAAACACGTCTTCTCCAACCATTCAGAGCAGCCACCGGAGTCAGATCCTCAACACGTTTGTGGTGTCGGCCAGTGTGACCAACGCCAGCTCTCCCATCAAAGACCTGGACGAGGACGTCGAAATCAGGCTCCACCATCTCACGCCTCACACAGTAGGAGCAGCTGTTCTAACAGTCACTGAAGAACACATACTAATAACTCTGTTCAACTTTTGTCATTAGTAATGCTCTTTGTTTATCCCTCCATAAAGCTTCACAAGGACGTGCAGTGTGTGTACTGGAACTTTAATAAAAACGGTAGGTTTTAAACATGTCTTTACTCTTCATCGATTTTTAACGAAACAACGTTAATGCTGTATTTCTCCGCTCGGGCCCAGATGGACAAGGAGGATGGGACAACCACGGCTGCAGGACACACAAGAGCAGCTCCAGCTACACAACGTGTCTGTGTGATCATCTCACACACTTCGGCGTTCTACTGGTACGAACTGTTGTTTGGCTTTTTTTCCCTCACAAACTGCTGATTTTAGTGCTAGAACGTCATGGAAAATCTGAAAAATTGTACTTCAGGAAGTTGACCAGCAGGTGGTGGTGCAAGCACAACAAAAGGAAATTGCCTTGATTAAATCGGATTTGGTTTTTAAAGGTTCCATAGTTGCTGTGCAAAAATAGTTTTATTGTCACTGCTATTATTATGACATTTGATGCAAAATAATAAAAATAAATAATAAATGTTTTATAGGACGTCTCCAGGACTCAGTTGGATCCAGTTCATGAGCAGATCCTCACCATCATCACCTACGCAGGCTGTGGAGTCTCCTCCCTGTTTTTGGGAGTTACTGTCCTCACCTACACAGTTTTCGAGTAAGTTCACAGCCTTTCTGTTGGTTTATATGTTATTTGCAGTGTAAATTTGTTTTGTAGACGCCTTAGATAAAAATGTAATCTCCTTATTTATCCATATTTTTCTGTTTCAACTTTCCACTTTTCCCTATGTCCTTGTCTCAGCAAGCTTCGTCGAGACTATCCCTCTCAGATCCTCATCAACCTGTGCCTGGCTCTGCTGGGTCTAAACCTCCTGTTCCTGGTCAACTCCTGGTTGTCCTCCTGGGGTCTCCACGCCCTCTGTGTCGCTGCAGCTTTCGCGCTCCACTACTTCCTCCTCGCTTCATTTACCTGGATGGGATTAGAAGCCGTGAACATGTACTTCGCCCTTGTCAAAGTCTTCAACGTCTATGTGCCTTCCTACATCCTCAAGTTCTGTGCTCTGGGATGGGGTGAGTCAGGTGTCAGAGGGGGATCATGAAGAAGAAGAAGAAGTCAGGTGGCTGTGATAAGTTTTAGTTGTGAGACTGTGTCACTTTCTTCCTGCAGGGCTTCCTCTGATGATCTGCATCCTAGTGCTCTGCGTCAACACAGACGCCTACGGCGGTAACCTGTACACGGGTGCTAAGGCCTGGTCGAACATACTGGACAACTCCGTTGACTTGTGAGTGTCAGCTTTGTCTTCTAACAAAACATCTATGAAACCTAAAAATGAAGGCAGAAACTAGACATGTGCTTCATAGAAGTTTCTTTATTTTCATTTTATAAGTAACTACACACAGTCCTTACAATCTCTGCAATAACTAACTACCAAAAAAGAATCCTGACAGACACTTTATATATATATATGCAGTATATGTTACACCAGGGGTCTCCAACCTTTTGTTCTTCAAGAGCTACTTTTACAAAATAAAAATGGCTAAGAGCTACTTTATTTTCAAAGCTCAATTCGAAAAAAAATCACCAAAGTATTACTATTATTAATATTAATGTTGTTGTTTGGCAGCGTGGCAGTCCACAAAAAACATCCATGTATTTAATGCCCAGTGTTGTTTATCCATTTTTGACCAGGTTTAATAGTGGTCTCTTTTGCATTTTTAAAATGTTGACTAAATAAGCTGTTTTTATTTATCATTCATTTTCTGCAGAATGTCGCCGTCTACTGGCCACATATAACAAAACCTACTGTAATTGTTTTGTAATTGACATGACATAAACGCTGCATTGACGCTGTGTGGTAGCAAATTAGCTTTAGTTTTATTTACACGGATATTAAACAGTAGCGAAATATACAATAACGAAACATGTCTATTATATTCATGTTCCACAAGGGTAGGGTAGCGGAGTAACACATTTTATGATAGGATTTTATCAAAAAATGCGGTGGGTTGTTCGCTTTTAGCTCCGGCAAGTTCCGGCCAAAAGTTTGTCTGTACGTCAGGCCATTTAATGGGGCAATGTTTAATATCCGTGTAACTAAAGCTAAAGCTAAGTTTGCTACCATACAGCATCAATGCAGCGTTTATGTCATGACGATTGCCAAACACTTGTGCAATGCAGTCGGTTATGCTACATGTGACCAGTAGACGGCGACATTCTGCAGAAAATGAATGAAAAATAAAAACAGCTTATTTAGTCAACGTTTTAAAAATGCAAAAGAGACCACTATTAAACCTGCGTTTTCGACTAATTCTCTTACCACTAGATCAGGGACCACTACATTAACTCATTATAGAATTATCAAAACAATTTATTGAGTAAAATGTTACACTTTTTGAGTATTTTTTATACTTTCTTTTACGCTCAAATGACAAGTGTATATTTTGATTGGATAAAAATTCAAGCAAACATTTTGAATGACCAATTAGGTTTATAAATGTTTTAGATTCATTAGCCTTTCGCGAGCTACTCGTAGCTGGCAAGTGACACGTTGGAGACCCCTGTGTTACACATATTATGCTATTATGCAGTTTTTAGTTACTACCATAAAAAATAGTAGAAATGCAACATTTTGCAACATGCAAAAAAAGAACGTTAGATGCTAAATGATTTCAACAATCATTTCCATCCTTGTTTTTTTCAGCTGCTGGATCCAGGATGACGTGGCCTTTTATGTGTCTGTTGTTAGCTACGCTGTACTCATCTTCCTCTTCAACATTGTGGTAAAAATAGATATATTTTTCATAGATAAGATAAGATCACTGTATTATGTCAAAATTATAATCTATCTATCTGTCCGTCCATCTGTCTCACCTCACACATTCCTTCAAACGTCACTGTTGTCGTTTCTGACACTCTTTGTACATTTCCCTGCAGGTTTTTGTGGTGGTTCTGATCCAGATCCGTCACATGCGAGCCAACAGTCCTGCAGGAACTCGCAGTGGACTGATACAGGACCTGAAGGGCGTGGCCAGTCTTACCCTGTTGCTCGGACTCACCTGGACTGTTGGGTTCTTCACCTGGGGTCCAGCCAGAGTGGTTCTACTGTACGGGTTCGCTGCACTCAACACCCTCCAAGGTAAAATCCTCCTCGATTGTCCTACCTAAAGTCCAGATCAGTGGTGTTGAAAATGAACAGTCTTTAAATTCTAAAATATCCAATAATTTTAAACAAATACAGTATAACCAAGTTTGCTTTTGAGCATTTTTTTATTTATTGATAATACAATTACAAATTACAAGCACAAATACAGAGATACTGAAAATTAACCTTCCTTGCTAGACTTTTCTGCTGTAACTCCACGACCCCTTAGTGGCAGGGCCCGTAGTGTAAAGAGTTAATTAGGAGAATTACTCTAAGACAGGGGTGTCAAACATACAGCCCGTGGCCCAAAACCGGCCCTCTAGGCAGTTCAATCTGGAATCAAGAATGATTTTAGTTTTTTGTGGTGATTACTGTAATGATCACTTCTCCACAACTGGCAGCTTCTCGTGAAGTGAAAGCATCACAGGGCACAACAGGGCACAACAGGGCACAACAGGGCACAGTGTCCACATTTGTATGGAGCCCATTGTGAGCGTTCCATTGTGTTAGTTTGTTGAGTAACCGTTCAGAGAACATTTGCTGCCACATACATAAGTCTGAAGAAAATAATCAAAGCAGGCTAAACGATGCAACCGTTTCACACCTGCCTGTTCCTGGGTCCACCACTCTTATGGTACTTTCATGTATTATCTCAGTCTGACGTAAAAAAGCCCTCGGCTGATTGGCCCCTGCTGAGCACAGTCTTTTTCAGGGACAAATAACCCGAGACGTTCAGAGAAAAACTGTGTCATCCACCGGAGCTTTAGCGACTCTGACGTCTCTTCTCTTTGTGTTTCAGGACTTTTCATCTTCCTCTTTCACTGTCTGATGAAGGAGAACGTCAGGAAACAGTGGAGGATTCATCTCTGCCTCGGCCGCTTCAGACTGGACGAGTACACTGGTAAAAAAAATACACACTCTATTAGGGGAATATAGAAATATCCATTGTATGATACAAATGTAAAGCGTTATCATTTATGCTAACTTTTAGCTTAACCTTTAGCTATAGCCTGATTTGCTAAAGTTTAATTTTTATCATAAGATGTTTCTGGTGAAATCTTGAATTGTTCTTTGGCATGTTTCACTTGCCAAGGCTAACTTTGAGCTAATAGTTTACTATCTTTTGGGATATTTAAATGAGTTTTAATGTAATTTTAGCTATGCTGCTAAATAATTTTTTGAGCTAATCCTGAGTTATACCATTCACTTGCTTAAAAGTTTTTATATTGCCCCTAGCATTGGACTATTTTTTACTATTTCCTAAATTTTCTTAGATGTATTTACTGTACTACGTATATATAGTTTGAAGATTACTCTAAACCCCATAGCTTTACTTTTCTCCTACTTGAAAAAACTGCACATTTAACTTTATTATATTATTATAACTATATACATATTATATATAATATATAAAAATAGTATTAAACATGAGATATATAATACTATTTTTAAAAACTCAATGTTTTAGTTGTACCTTGTACCTGTAACTCTGATTAAAAATTGTTTTTTAGAAAGAAACTCTGATTAAAAATTGTTATTGTTTTTTTTTTTTTTGGTTTTGTTTAGTACATCCTGTTTATAATCTGTTGTCTTCCTGCAGAGTGGAGTAACTCAGCCTCGGCTGGAGCCGCTGCCAAGCCCAAATTAAATCCTCCAGGAAAGTCGCTGCCATCGGTCCACTCTGTGAAGTCCAACTCCACAGAAAGCACATCTGCGTCCTCTGACTCCAGCCAGAGAGGGACTTCCTGCAAGAGACCAAACCTAGGTGAGTAGTGCAGTAGTTGTTGAAGAAGAAAAATTCAAGCATATGGGGAAAAACTGGAGTTTTTGAAAAAATTAGATTTTTAAGGAAGTAACGCTAATCCACAGACAAAAACCAAGGTTGTGATTTCTCTGGATGTGATCATTAGTTTGGCAGAAAACTCCTTCCTTCCTTATCCATTAAGATAGTTTTATAATGGATAAGAAAGATACAATCAGCACTGCAATTCGTGGGTTTAATTCAACTTGATGAGATTCAGTTTCTTTCTGGTGAAATGATCCCAGATTGGCTCAGATCGCAGTCCCTCAGCGACAGGAGCCTCGCAGTGAATGTCACCGCATATATTAATGGCACTGCACTAATGTTGAAAAATGACACGAGTGCCGTCGCAATTAATCCAATTTGAACAAAAACTCCAGTAACGTTAAAACGTTATGTTCCCTCACATGTGTAAAGGAATGACGACACCTCTACCTGTACACACTACTAAAAGAGAAATTTTGTTTTGTTTTACCTTCCAGGCCTTCTCGTCAATTCCCTGGTCCTTCCTCGAGCTCAGAGGAACCCCACAGACACCGGAGGTCCGCCTTCACACAGGGACATGTATCCAACATCTGGCTGGAGCAGGCACTTGCTGGACCAGTAGGGACAAAGATTGAATGCACAACACACATGGACACACAGGTATGTTCGAACGTAGACACACAAATCAGTCTTTAAGTTCTTGTACAGAGATACGTGATCCTGGCAGCGCGAAGATGAATTTAACTTAAGCTTTGCTGCGTTTTCTCCTTCTTTAGATAATTCTTCACTACATTTGTTTTGTTTAAGCCAAATATTGTAAAAGAGCCTATAATTATGAAGACATGAGGGGCTGCATCACTTCCATGGCGGAGTCAGTTGCCAAGCAACTGGTGAAAGGAGCCATGGTGACAATGGAGCGAGAGTCTGTACATAAAAGAAAAAAATTAAATTTGAAATTTACGACGACTGAAGTCTAACCGCGTTGATCCCTCTGTCACCAAATGTCTGTCATTTTAAAATGGTAACGATTTTCTGCCATTACATGATACGTGATTATGATTCTAAGTTTGTTTGGTTTGTAATGTCTAATGTAACCGTCTTCATACAATAAGTCAAGCTTGTAAGTTTTGGTCCATCTGTTCTAGATTTAATTTTAATAAATTATTAAGATTATTATTTCGATCTGTGTTTTTGTTTTTTTTACATTAGGCAACACCCAAATGAACTAATCTGCCTGCCTCACAGTGATTCACGCACACGAAACCAAAGAGTGACGTTAAGGTTTAATAAAATAACATACGTCCAACCGCGGACACCACTGTATGGCCTAATGTATTTTTCACATACGAACAAACAGAAAATAAGACCAGGGCTATGTGTAATCCTAAACTTAGAAGTATCATTAAAGGTAATCGGTTACCGTAACGTCAACAAGAATGTGAACTTAACAAATGGATGCGTCTCCCTGAACAGGACCTGATTAAGCGCGAAAACAATCCACCAGTTTCTTTGAAGTCCATGGACCAGCATTCGTCCTGAGGAAATGTTGCTTGACCTGATCTTTGGCTGTTTGGTAAGCGACGGCTTCCACCTGCAAAGGTTCAAGTTTAACATCGCGACGCGAGTACGGCGCTAGCCTGTGGCTCTAAGCTAATGCTGATTGCTGTGTGTTTCAGACGGTTGCTGTGTGTTTCAGAAACTCACCTTGACGCTGTGGTAGGTGGGAAGTTTCAGGAGATAGTCATGTCCACCTAACTTTGCAGCCGTGAGGAAATACTGGTAAAGGGCTCTCTTACAGAGTCTGCTGGAGAACCCAGGTCCACTCACAGTAGGAGAGCTGCAAAAAAAAAACAAAACACTTTTTTTAATGAATGGGAAGTCTGTTATTTCAGAGCTGAAAACAAATGCAGAATAAAAACTCAACACATCAGTTAGTGTTGCCAATGTTTCTCTCCCTTTTCCCCTATCCCTTTAACAGCGAGACAGCTCTCCAGGAACACGCAGCGACACTGCGAGAGTCAAAACTAGCTCTCAAAATCTATTTTCGGTTATTATCACTATTCAAACACAACTCAGCTTCCAGTGAGAAGCCCGTCTGTGTCAGACTGGAACGACTTGACTTCTGCGGTTGTCTGCAGCTCCAAAGCCGAGACATGGCATGGAGCCCTGCACCTCACAGAGGCTGCAACACAAGCAAACCACATCAGAGTTTCCTCCACTGCAGCCCCGGAAACAGATGAAGGACTGATAAAATAAGGTACGTTACAGCCAGATTTAAACGCTTTCCCAAATAACACGGAGCATCACGCCGCTTGTGTTTTTGTTAGATAAAAGTGTAAACATATCCAATGGATGAATTTTTAGAAATGTATATTAGCTTACCCATCAACAAGGAGGCCGGTGCTACAGTCCAGGACTTCAATATCCTTGTCTCCAAGACACCAGTTGATGCTGAAGTTGTCCATCTGGGACCAAGAAGAAACAGGGCCGACATAGTCGCCGCAGAGGAAGGTGATGTTCTGTTTCTTGTAGGGTGGCGGCAGAAAGTTCTCCAATCCATCACCCAGTCGCTTATTGGTCCAATTAGACTCTTTGTCTTTGGGGAGTTGCTGACACCCTAAACCAACACAACAGAAAACTTATAACTAACAGGAACTGCTTAGGAAACTAAATTGCAGCAAACTATATTGACTAAAGTGTTAGTTTCATTTGGAAAATGGTTGAAACAGTGTAAAAATATTTGTTTCTGAATTTTATGATAATAAATATGGACATAATCAGAAGTTTTAAGGCAAATTAGTGCATTTTGATTCGTTTTCGATAAACTTCTTTGTCTGATTGTATATGTTGCTTTTGATTAATGGTTGACTAATGGTTTTTAGTATACATTGTTCATTGTACATGTGTGATTGGCCATGCAACAAATAAAGTATTTTTGAGTCTTTTGTTTCTTGAGAAAAAAAGTAAAAAAAATCCCAGAACTCCAAACACCATCATATCAGAATATGTCAAAATATCACCAAAAAGCATCATGTTTTACGGACATAGTCTTGCATTTTATATATATATATTTATTATATTCATATA